TTTTTTGTATACTTTAGAGGTGTCGTGTGGAAATGTGGACTTTTATTACTCCTTTTTTTGCAAATTATTTAGAGAACGATTTTTTTTTAAGTTTTGATGTAGACCTAGTTAAAAATTAAAATGAGTTGTTTCCGAATTATTAATATGTTTRTATATTAAAGTGACAAAAAGTACTCAAAATGATTTAACAAAAACACAAAATAGAAGTAATGTTGGAACTAGTATTTATTATACTTGGGCTATTTTTACAAATAATGAATCTTGATAGAATAATATTAATGACAAAAAYTTTCTAAATCACTACACCTTCCTTCTTAAAACTTCATTACCGTGGACCTTTTAYCCTTAGAACGTTAGAACATAAAGTTAAACAACTCAAAAATGACTAATACGAGTTATTATCWTGGTACGTCAAATTTTTCWGAAAAAAAYAGAAGTTTGTACTCTCTTAAATAGWACAAAACTTCTCAAAAATTTGAAAATACTAACATGGTATTTAKGTATGTTCAATCATTTAAAAATCAATTTTTAAATAACTGCATTATTTAAGAAATAGGTGGTAATCATGCTTATTAGTAAATGTTAATATAAATAGGTACATTCGTTATGTATTTAATTTACTATGTATCAAATAAATCAAATACAAATATTTAGATTTGTCGAAATATCAATTAATATGCTTCATTTTAAAAAACTCAATATGAACATTTCAGTAATCCTCAATTTAAAAAAAAAAACACTTGGTCAATAAACAACTGGATTTAATAAAAGTAGAATTGAAATAGGTTTTTGATGGTTTGCCATTATTGTTTACAGATTCATATGAATAATAATTATCAATCTGTAGGCAAAATTAATTTAAAGCAAAACATACCAATTATATATTTTTCAATCAATGTGGTTTATTATTCATCACAATATAATTTTTGTATTTTTAGTCAATTTTATAWACTATTGGTTGAAAAAAAAAACAAACAAAGTTAGTGTATTAGTGTATTAGTGTAATTTCTTCATCAAACATAACCTTTCCATGCATGAGTGACGGATCGTCCACGGTTATCGATATGTGACAACTCAATTAGATAATAAATAAATTAAACTTTCCGAGTCTAAATCAAAAGTAACTATTTTATACATGTATTTTATTTTTATAATTTTTATTTTTAGGTAGATAAATTATGAAAAAAAAACATTGCAGCACCACACCTATCAGATACATGTGACTAAAACATGATTACTCATAAAAATGCATCCAATTTAATTACAACGAAACCGCTGACCATAAATAGCGACATCTACAACTCTACAACGATGTATTTTTTTTTTTTTACTATTTGTCGGTATTTTCACGAATATAAATCGTTAGTATATTCGATTCCTAGTATCTATGTATGAAAAAACTATATAAATCACTTAAAATTACAATACCTCCGGGCAACATCGTGGCACAATTACACTTCTGGTTATTATATGGGTCACTTGGAAAATGTAAGCAAAATTCCCATATTATACGCATTAAAATCGATAGTATTTTATTAAGCAGTTGATTTGAAACTAGTAGACAAGAATTTTACATATAATGTAGGTAATTTGTTTCATAATTTCACTGATATCACATAAGATTCTAAAAACAATTATATTCGTCACTAACGCATACTATTGCAATGTTATAGCCATTACTAGTACAGTACTCGTATAATTGGTAACAGTTAGGTAGGTAGGTACAAATTTTAAGCTYAACACTATTAATATAAATAAAGATGATGACCAGGAAGCTCCTCATATTTGGATTTYCTTATAGAATAATCCAAAAATATGACTAGCATAGCAACATTTTGAATCGTATAGATTAAGTCGTCATTTATGCGTATAGGTACAATACACAATATCTACGTACCTATTTACCTCTTGTCTCTTTACAATATTTTTTTACCCAACCTAACCTCCCAAATTAATTTTATTTACCGGGTTAAAATATATTAGTTTAAAACTTAATACAAAAATAAACAAGTTTTAAAATAAAGATTTCGAATGTTTTACTCCMATACACGAACTTCCGTGACCTAAAGACCACTCTAGGCAGGTATAATACGYGACAAGATGATCTTTGCAGACATCAGCTAACAGAACGTAATTATAACGAAAGCATGAGGCATGACTAAGGATTTTCTCTACGCCGAGTTTTCTCTTGATGGCCAAATTAATGACTTTATAGTTTATTAGATATTTTGCCAACGCCGAGTAACACTCTATTCTACTACTACTTTTTTTTCTATATTCTACGATGACCAGGACGTGTTTTACCTGTACGTCCTTAAACGGCCGCCACGTGGAGGACGCGCAGAACCCGTGACAACGACACAAATATGATAACGAGAACCAAAACACTTCGGCTGCGACAGCGTACACTCGTCCAAAAGCGAGAAATATTTAAATACGTTTTATTGCGAACCGGCTGATCGGCTGAAAGTGCAGTTCGAGGGAATATAATGCCGTTTGTATAATGCATATATTGTTATATTACGACATCATTATTCGTTTGCCGAATCTGAGAGGATGATTGAAATGACGGAAAATAAAAATGAACGAAAAACCGCGGAAAAACGTACGCGCGCACGTTGAACGAGGAGCACCAACGGGACAACGCCGCAACAACGACACCACAGCACCGGCGCCGACCACGGACCGACGCTGTTAGCATAGCAGCGTACCGTCGCGCACCGATACCGACGAACTCGCCGCCGCCGCCACCGCCGCCGCCGCCGATTTTCCCGCGACGCCCCGACCGGCGACGATGTTCACGCGGCATAATGATAATATCACTCTGCATAATTTTTCGTTTCTGGTTTTCGGTTATTGTTACGATACGATACGACTTATTGATACGAAATATTTAGGGGTTGATGAAATTKTGCGTAAACAGTATATAATACGGTGAGCCGCATTTCGGCCTTTCGGTCATCAATRACGAAACATGTGCTTACTGCAGAGTCCCGATTTTTAGATAATAGACATCAAACGCGGAAGTRGGTTGGTCCGAATTGTTTTTATTTTTACTTATCATTTTMCAACACGATGTAAATAGAGGATATCACTGCTAGGAAAAGAGGTTGGCGATCCCCATCATCATTAATGATATTGTCTAGATATTATTGTTTAATTTCCTTAAATTATTTTTGAAGATCCTTCGTTATAAACTATTGTGTGTAGATAATTTGTTGTTTTATACTACAAAATAATAATAGCAATTTAACTAAAAAATTATTTATTTGTAAATTTCGTGTCATAGTTATTCTCTGTGGATGTATTCAATGGTTCATTAACAAAATATTAGAAGCTATTTTTTCTGAAATAAACAAGTCAAGGAGAGTAATTTTATGACTGTAGACATTTCAATTATACCCATCAACCTTATGAAATTGATCCATTTTACCGCGGTCGAGAAATCTTAGATCAAATATAGAACACTGAGTGAGCCAATTACCTGGATACACAAATTAATAAACCACAAAACTAACGATACCATACCAAACAGATTTACATCCAATTATTAAAACGGCAATTCCAGTCAACGTACAACAAAAGGATAATATAATGTGAAATGTTTAAATATATGAGTTATGTATGCCTACCTAGCTAACTTCTAAAATAATAATTCGCTCGGACGAAAAACAATCGTAATCAAAATATAATTCTACTCGCATACAAAGCAGCGCAGAATTTGAGATACGAAAATTATTATTATTGTTCTAGGACGAGTGGGTAGAATTGGATAAGTGTGCGATCGGAAGAAGTGATAAGTGAAGACGACCAGAAAACCGCACATTCGTCATACGCCATCTGTCGGCTAAAATCGAATAATTGTCCTCGTTACGCTGAGTACCGAGTACTCGACACACGGACGCCGCGAATGTCCAAGAGTACAATATTTAAATATAGATTTGTTTATTCGAAATGAACCGCGTGTCCGCATCCGTTGGTTTATTGTAGTTTATGTTTTGTTTAAAGTATTCCTGTGTTTAGGTTAATCATCACATTATCACAATATCCGTCCGTTAATATCGATGGATATTAATTGATTGAATAAAGCATTCCTACTTACGAGAGTTAGTCTTGTTACTTAACACAACTTACAGACTACAGTTGATTCGTGTATGAAAACCTATTATACGTATAATTTAATGTGCCAAGTCCATRTGTAACAGATACTAGAGGCATGCTGAGAGACCAACTAATGGATGTTAAAGCTGACACTCCCAAAATTATAGGCTAATATTTTTTTTTATTTTTTTTATTTCAATACTAAATTTTTATGTCAATGTCAATTTAATTTTTTTAAATCTAGTTTATAAATTGTACGTTTTTGAGTATTATTATTATAACAATAATTCATCTAAAGATTCAAAGAATCAAAACTATATTTTATTTAAAATGTATAAAATCTACTACAAAAATATTCACACTGGATAATGGGTAATAAATGGAAAAATATAATTTATTTCTCTATTATAATTACTCTTTTTGAGAGTCTACTCATTCCTCTTATATTTTCTGACATTTTGTCCTTAGATATTTGAAATTTAAATAATAAATATCTTTTACATATTATTATTATTCATTTAGTGCAAATCCCACGTTGTATGCAATTTATGTTTTAAAATTACACACACACTATATAATATTGCAGGTCATAAATCAGCCCGCGCATTACCAGCAATTAAACTGACCTTGTGCTGCATTTCCCCCCTGAATGAAAATACACATTATGCATTTATGCGTGAAATGTGCAATGACCAATGGATAAATATAAAACTGAATGCTTCGAGATTTTACACCTTAAAGACGGATGCCATAAATCATATTAATATATAAACGTGAAAATGTGAAAATAGTTGATATGAAACCTAACCTTATGAGTTATGACAATAATATGGAATACAGTAGGTACCTAATGTATAAATACTATTATTTATTGGCCATATCAATGACTTAATAATAGAACTTAACCTATAATTTATCACAAATGATAGTCTACTGGCTAAATATGTTGTAAATTATATTATATCAAACCAATTGATGCAAAAAATAATATAAAATATTCCAATACAGTAGTTATAGTTAGAAAAATTGTTTATGTATAATTTCTAGCTGTTAATTGACCATTCCACACAATTACCTAATCCTATTAAATTTTTCAACTAGTATTAAAATTATATTAATTTTTATAATTTAGATAGATAGATAAATTAATTCCAAATGAATAAAATAAYATCATAAAGTTATTTACAACTAATAAAATGTATTAAATCCATATTATGATGTTTACAAATAATAATGTTAAATAATTCATAATATCTGGACTTTTTAACACTTGTTTGACGAACAAAATAAAAATAAGATTTTAATCATTAAAAGTACTTATGTCACTTTCCTGAATGCTTATTCTTTATATAAATGTAAGGCTACTTTTTTTACCACTTTCACTTTCATTTACTACTTAGTWCCTTGTAAACACTATAGAAAATGAAATTTACATGYTCAAATAAAAGTGACATATTTTTTCATTACATATTGTATAACTAATTAAATGATTTTAAAATAGTTTCATAAAAAATAATACGCATAGAGATAGTCGCAATGCCGATGAAACTTAAAGTCGAAAATAGTTAATATAAAGAAAAAGTATAATAATTATGTTGCACTCACATATTTTATATGTATATCAAGTTGATATTATCAACTATATAAATTGGTATATAAAATTCGAATATTGTAACCTTTATTTTATACCTAACTACATGCAAAGATTAATTCATAAATCAACATTCTTTAAATTCCGTGTCTAATTATAATGTAATAATTACGATATGTATTACCTATTACTTACTACTTAAGTACTCAAGGTAGCCAATATTAGATAATATAAGTATTGATATAATGATATAAATATTATATTATATATATATACTATATATATTATATATATATAATATTATTATTATTATTTATACTTAGATAATATTATAATAACCTAGGCTGGAACATACGTTGTATTCAAGTGTGATTGAAAAGTATGATATAGTAGTATAGGTAGTCAAAAAGTTAAATACTTTACCAATAAGCTTAAAATATGGTAATAAAAAATAAAATATAACATTGAATAATGGAATGAAGAATGATAGTCACTTAATATACTAATAAAGAATAATAACTTTAAAACACAATATTATGACAAATATTATTTAAATTTTTTACATTAATAACAAAAAATTTTAAATTTTGAAATAAAGTGAATTTAAAATTTGTCAGATGGCATCATATTGATAAAATGTTTATACTCAATAGCGCTTGTTGAGATATGCAACTTACCGTCACATAAGTCATAAATAAGTTTAATATTGGTAACCCGTGATAAAGATATTGAAAAAAGTATAAAAAAAACTCAACCGCGTTATTAATTATTGRAACTGAACAGACAAACCGCTGGATCATGGAGTTCGCAATGTTTGCAAACGTTTACTATATTCGGCAAACAGACAGTCCGAATTACTCCGTTATAAAACGTTCACACGTAAACCACTATACAATTTTCTCAGTATAAACCCTACATAATGTATATTAGGTGGAGGAATATTCTATACATGTTTATAATATTATCCATGGCCTATTGCCTGTAATATAATCATAATATGATTATATACTCTACGCTTTACTATTGATTATACACAGTATAATAGAATATGTATATTGTATAGTCAATTGTGTGTAGTAATTATTATTATGTGTATTATAATATGACTATGTATACATATTACATATTATCAGCTAATGACAATAATATTATGATCAATACTATTTGTATTCATGACCAATTTTTTTTTTTAATTGAGACAATATCGCAAAATAATATACGAAACATATTTGATTTTTGTRAGAAATGTTGTTTGTTCACATATATAGTTCACTTGATAAGCTATAGGGATAAAAACAATTCCCTAATTTCTCCTTAACATTATTTAATATTTACAAAAACACGCAAAAAACCTATTTTAGATTGCCAGAGGATTGAAGTTTTCTCTAAATGTACATAGAGCTGAAAAATAAATTACTAGGCATCATGTTTGATGTAAAAGTCCTTCTCTAGAAAGTAACTGGATTCGCGATAAAGTTACTGTTTAATAATAATAATAATTAGAGCAAGGCGATATTATAAGAGGCATTTATGAGGTTGCTGAAGTGTCGAAGAAAATTTCGCCACAATTATTGACCTGTAAAAAAAACCTCACCCATCGAATTCCTGCGCCATGGGCAAAGTACTACGTACTAAAAGTAATGTCGAATGCATTCTGAAAACCGGATGCTGTAGAAGAATAGGAATAGCGTGGGCTTTGGGAGTGTTCCATCACCGCGATACCATAAATGGCATTAAAAAAAAAATAAATAACCAACCCCCACGCAATGTTGGGCGACTCGTTTTTGCCGCAAATTTATTTCGTTTTACTCGACAGCAAGCCTCATATAATATATATATATATATATGTATATAAATATAATGACTGGACTACGATTTCGGTTAAACGGTCACTAACGTCATTAAACTCTTATCCTATTTACTGGTTCACAACTAACTAGTCACAGGTTTTGTGAATTCATATATATAATATATAATRT